TTTCTCTTGCAAGTGTATGTGCCAGTAACCTACAAAAAAGACAAAAGAATCACTGGCAATGTAACACAAATCATTTCATATTTTCTGCAGTTTATCACACCTAAAACCATATTTACATATTCAAAGAAACAGACTCTGTATAGTTTACAAGTTATATTGGAAAACAATGTTTTGAACAGAAAGCATATATCTTTTTTATTGACCACATAAAACAATTAGGCAATGGGAAAAGCAGTTAACAGTCTAAGTTTCATACCTTATCAAGATTGTCGACGCCCCCCTAGTTTTTGTTATAGAAAAGGATGACTTCTGGCTTCTTGTCCTCCATGGTACTCAGAGAGGCATCCTTGTGCAGAGTGGTCATCAGCAGGACATTTTTTTGTTTCTTTGGGCAGTACGACACAAGTGCATGTGTGTTGGTGAAGGCGAACTTGGACGAAAAAACATCCCTGTCATTGTTGGTCACTAGCGCAGGAAGAAGCTCAGGCTTGTTCCTACTGACAGTCCCCACCATGGTAATTTTTTTTTTTTCAGTAGTTCTGTGCCAAGGTCATAGGACGTGAAAAAATTGTAACATACAACTGTATGTCCTTGCAGACCTGCTGTCACTTCAAGGACTACTCTCTTGCCCGGTTTCTTTTCTGGAACACCACTCAACGTTTCCCCTGTATACAATTGCATGTTGCAAGCATAACTGTTTTTTGCGTCACACACGGTCCAGATCTTTATCCCGTATTTGGCAGGCTTCTTGGGGATATACTGCCTAAAAGGGCAGCGTCCCTTGAAAGCAACTAAGCACTCATCGACTGTCACCTCTGGGCTTGGGTTATAGATGAGCGGTAGCCTCTCCACTCACTTGTCCCAGAGTTCGCGAATCGGTGCGAGCTTGTCACATCGATGGCGTTCAGCTCTTGTCTCTCGGTTGTCAAAGCGGATCACCCGTCATATCAGTCTGTTGGGACATAGTGGCATGAAAAATTGCCCGGCCTGTTTCTGCATCCCATAAACTGCCGATGCTTTCATTTCTGGACCTGTAGACCCCACACGAAATCAAAAGACCCATGTATGCCTCTATGTCTGTTCGATCTACCTCATTCCAGTTTTCTTTGAAGACTCCCCTTCCCTCCAGATTCGTCATGGATATGACTATGCTTTCAAAGGGATCTGTCAGAAACAGGTTGAAGCACAATTTTATGTCTTCAATGTGAGACGTGGCATATTTTGTCAACCCTGGTGTCTTCCTCAGGACATTTTCTGAAGATAACCTGCCTTTCTCCTCAGGTGGGCATGAAGACCAGGACAACTTTCCATCCTTCGACCAGAATGCTATATCAACTTCTGCTGGGCCATCACAATCAGAAAATTGCTCCTCTTCAGTTGTTGCAAGGTTTGCAGCTTGATCAGTGATGTCTTCCTCTTCTGATATATTTTGCAACATGCCTTCACTGTAAGATTCATCTTCAGTTGTCTCTTCCTCGCTATTTTCTTGATCAGTAATATGATCAAGAACCTCTTGTAAAAACAACTTCTTTGTCATTGTGCTGACACAGACTGAATGACAAGCAAGGTGCTGTGAGGGATTTATATGGTCTGTCTTTGTGCTAAAGCATTTTTTAGGAAACCTTTGTCTAATTTGTGAGAACATGAAAGCCTCAAAACCTATTGTCATAATATATTGTCTAGAAGGTGTGACGAAAGAAAGAAGATGAAAGAAAGATTAATTTGAAGCAGGGTGACGCCAGTTCATGTGTGTGTGTGTGAGAGAGAGAGAGAGAGAGAAAGAGAGAGAGAGTTATACTATCAGATTGATGAAATGATATCGAATGCAGTTCAGGGTAGGATGAAATAGAAAGCTTGTAACACTCCCAATAGTTTGTATACGTGTGTGTATGTGTGAGTTAGCATGAGTATACACGCATCCACGCATTAACAGGTCCAAGTCCTTTATGTTTGGAAGCACACATGTACATATGTGAATGTGAACATGATCACCATGCTCCTGAACACTAATAGTTTATATTACTTTCATTCTTTCCCATTCACTTTGAATGGCTGGACATTTTTGACCGGGAACACCACAAGTGTGACTTTGTGCCATTTTGTACAAAATAAAAGCATTTAAAAGCAAACTCCCTGATTAAACATTAAAGCACACTGGTGTGATAAACAGTGCAAATTCTCATCAGTTTTTATTTAATATTGCTTTTTTCACTCAACAATTAGGTGCCTACTCTCAGATAAATGAGGCCAACTATTAATCAGATGCAAATATAAATACAAAACCAGTACTAAATGAAAGAAAATAATTTGACAAAAAGATTGAATCCAATATTTGGTCAAGATATAGCATAATGAGTGGTTTATAAGCAATTTTTTGAGGCCGGGTCATTTTTGCCCACTTCTCCGGGCAAAAATGACCCGAACACCACATGAGGGTTAAAGACCTACTGTGGTTAAAATCAAGTTTTAAATTCTGTTTAAAGTCTGTCTGTTGGTTTTATTATGCTTAAAGACAAACCATCTGCAAATGCATTAGTTGACACCATTGCTGAGCTTTTTTCTCCTTAAAATAGCAGTGTACTAAAGACAGTCTCAGGGTATGTTTACATGACAATGATGTTTTGAAAGTTTTGCATACAGACGACAACATTGTTAAAATGACCCCGTCCACACAGATTTGTGAAAATTACTAAAAACGTATGTATGCCAGGCCAGTAGTTGGCGATGTCACTTTGTAAAGAAACACTACACATCTGCGCACATACTTATTCCTATAGACCAGGGGTGTCCAAACTCGGTCCTGGAGGGCCACTGTCCTGCAGAGTTTAGCTCGAACTTGTCTCAGCAGACCTGCCTGTAATGCTGAGTTCACACTGCACAATTTTAGCCCCGATTTTAACTCGCAAACAGGTTTTGCAGAATTTGCGGTCTTTGCGGTTCTGGTCCCGCTATTGCTGAAGCACCCCAGCGATTGAGATCACGGGGATCGCATATGGGTCTAGTTGAGTGGCCTCACCCTTTCTCTGCCTTCACCCCTGGATCTAGCACTCTTTCTCGAGGTTCAGAAGCCCACGCTGCGGTCTCTTCCCCCTCAGAGTGAGAGCTCGATGCTGCAGCTATCTTCCTCCGAGGAGGTTGATGTTAGCATTGATATAGAAGAGATTGGGGACTCGCCACCTCAGTCTCTTGCATTTGAGCAGACTGCATTTTAGATTGCGTTTCTCCCTACCCTTGCCACTTCATGGATGGGATACACGTGAATTATGTGTGGTTTGTTTGGGAGCGGAGCACGCACAGTCAGCTCTTGAGGGGGCTGGCTGAGTTCATTCATAAAATGTCCCGATGTGTACAAGTGTGCACTATCTAGAATGTTTAGCTCTGCTTCCACTGGCGTTTCTTCTTGATTTAATTCTGGGGAATTCAATGCAGTCAAAGCGGCTTTGGTGGATAACTCATACATGGCAGACCTAGGTCTCAGGGGCTGCTGGGCAGGCGCAGCCCCTGCTGTGGGGCAGCTCCTCATTTAGGCGCAGCAAAAAGTCCTGATTCCAGTCCCTCTGGGGAAGATCAGTTCACACCTCATTATACAGTGCCCATCTCTCCTCAGTGCTCGAAGGAGGCCGGTCAGTTTACCCCGCCACCTGTGGTGCATTGGAGCACAGTGGTCTCCAGCGACTGCAATTCTCAGTGTCCACCCGAAAATGTGGTAGCACTGGGAGGCTCACATCCTCTGAGGAGGTTATCAAGCAGCCAGTTCGGTTATTCCCTGCCGGTCATCCGCTTCAGGGCACCAAGCTGATTGCTCAAGAGATCAGGTTTGAGAGACTGGTTCCCTTAATTGGGGAGAAACATTCACACCCCATTATATGGTGCCCATCGCTCCTCAGTGCCCTCAAGAGGCCGGTCTGTTAACCCCACCAAGTTTGGTGCTTCAGGGGACAGAGTTCTCCAGCAAGCACTGTTCTCAGATGTCGCCCGACAATGGTACAGCACGAGAATGCTCGTCCCCTCAAATGAGGTCACTAGAGTGGATAAATCGGCTTGCTACCGGTCATCCATTTCAGGACACTGAATTAAACTCTGTAGCTACAATAGATGCCAGTTTCATAGGGCTGGCGTCCTCAGCCCTGCTGATACCCCTGCCACCACCGGTGCTTCAGGGCTCAGTGGGCTCCAACGAGCGAAGTTTCCAGCTGCCGACCAGCAACAGTATGGCGCGGGAATGCTCATCCCCTCAAATGAGGGCACTCAAGCTGTCAGGTCAGTCGTTTCCTGCCGGTAATTCGCTTCAGGGTACTGAACTGACCACTCCAAATACACCAGAGGATTACACTCATTGAATTACATCAACAATTGGTTGATATTAGCTCAATTAGAACAGATGGCGTTTCGCATCAAGATGTCCTTCTCACTCACATGAAAGAGCTGGGGTTAAGGTGGAACACCAGAAAGAGTGTGCTTTCTCCAGTACAGAGAACCACTTTTCTCTGTGTTGTATGTGTTTCAACAACATTGCAGGTACATTTGTCTCTTGCTTTTGTTATTTGATTCCTTGGCCAGACACTCACTGTAATAGAGTTCCAGTGACTGTTGGGTCTGAATGTAGCAGTGTCCAACGTGATATATTTTGGCCTACTGTACATGAGACCTTTGCAGTGGTGGCTCAGGACCAAGGGGTTTTCCCTTGAGGGACAACCCGCTTCACATAATCAAGGTCACACGGCGATGCTTATGTGCCTTAGACATGTGGAGGAAACCTTGTTTCCTGTCACAAGGCCCAGTGTTGGGGGTTCTTTGTCGCTGCATAATGCTAACGATGGATGCCTCCCTCACGGGCTGGGTAGTGGTCATGTGTGGCTGCTCTGCCCAGGGTCTGTAGGAAGGCCACCATCTCATGTTGGCACTTAAATTGCCTGGTGATGCTGGCCGTATTTCAGTAAGGACCAATTTTTCAAAGTATATTTATTACAATTATATAGCATCCAGTTAGTGTTGGCGGTATGGCGGTTGCAGTTGCCCCATTTCAGGACACTGAATTAAACTCTGTAGCTACAATAGATGCCAGTTTCATAGGGCTGGCGTCCTCAGCCCTGCTGATACCCCTGCCACCACCGGTGCTTCAGGGCTCAGTGGGCTCCAACGAGCGAAGTTTCCAGCTGCCGACCAGCAACAGTATGGCGCGGGAATGCTCATCCCCTCAAATGAGGGCACTCAAGCTGTCAGGTCAGTCGTTTCCTGCCGGTAATTCGCTTCAGGGTGCTGAACTGACCACTCCAAATACACCAGAGGATTACACGCATTGAATTACATCAACAATTGGTTGATATTAGCTCAATTAGAACAGATGGCGTTTCGCATCAAGATGTCCTTCTCACTCACATGAAAGAGCTGGGGTTAAGGTGGAACACCAGAAAGAGTGTGCTTTCTCCAGTACAGAGAACCACTTTTCTCTGTGTTGTATGTGTTTCAACAACATTGCAGGTACATTTGTCTCTTGCTTTTGTTATTTGATTCCTTGGCCAGACACTCACTGTAATAGAGTTCCAGTGACTGTTGGGTCTGAATGTAGCAGTGTCCAACGTGATATATTTTGGCCTACTGTACATGAGACCTTTGCAGTGGTGGCTCAGGACCAAGGGGTTTTCCCTTGAGGGACAACCCGCTTCACATAATCAAGGTCACACGGCGATGCTTATGTGCCTTAGACATGTGGAGGAAACCTTGTTTCCTGTCACAAGGCCCAGTGTTGGGGGTTCTTTGTCGCTGCATAATGCTAACGATGGATGCCTCCCTCACGGGCTGGGTAGTGGTCATGTGTGGCTGCTCTGCCCAGGGTCTGTAGGAAGGCCACCATCTCATGTTGGCACTTAAATTGCCTGGTGATGCTGGCCGTATTTCAGTAAGGACCAATTTTTCAAAGTATATTTATTACAATTATATAGCATCCAGTTAGTGTTGGCGGTATGGCGGTTGCAGTTGCCTCCCCCCCCCCCAAAAACACAACACAAAAATATATAATAGAGAATGCTTGCAATATAGCGAACTGTATACAAGAGGAAAAAAATAGATTTACAGGTCCAGTTAGGTGGAGTTGGGGTTGGAGGAGGGAGTTGATTTGCAAGCAGCGATGTGATAGAAGAGATGCTGGAGAATGGGAATTGAAATGGACCGCTGTGATAAGTGTCAAAACTGGATTGGTACACGTCATGAACAACTGACTATCAGCTGATGCGAGCTTGACCTGATGTGGCCTACCTGAACTAATTCGATGCTTGATTTCATGCACTGAAACACTCCCTTCCAGACCTGAGGGGCCATCATGTGCTTGTCCGTATAGACAACACATCGTTGGTCTCCTACATCAGCCACTGGGGGGGGGGGGGCCTGCATTCACGCCCGCTATACAAGTTGGCACACCAGATCCTCCTGTGGGCTCAGGGAAAACTCCTCTCACTCTAAAGAGCAATTTACATCCTGTAGAGACAGGGGTTGAGGCACGGGGAATAGAGGCTGCACCCTGATGTGGTGGAGCAGGCGGTGGATCTGTGTGCGTCTTGACACTTTACATTATCCACTCTAGTTCTGCCTCAAACAACCAGTTCCTCTAGGACTGGATACCATTGTACAGACATGGTTGAGACTGTGTCTATACACCTTTTCCCCAATTGCTCTGCTCCCAGGAGTTCTGGAGGGAGTCCGCTGGGATGGGGTTCTTCTATTTCTAGCAGCCCCATTCTGGCCAGCCCGAGATTGGCTCTCGGACCTAGTGTCCCTCCTCGATGGCTCTCCCTAAGAGGATACATCAATAAGCTGTTACAGTTCAAATGTTGGCCTCTAACCTTCTAACTATGCAGGATATTAATTCTGACTGTATCTCTTCACAAACTGTCCCTCCCTATCATTTTCATCTAGTTTTTATTCAATTGATTTTCTTCATAGTTTTTGTCATTCAAGCTCCCCGGAACGCTGCAGGGAACAGCAATCCAGGCACCATCCTCTGAAGAGCAGACCTTCAACGGTGAGTGATAAGAGGCTTCTTGAAGACAGCATAGCTGGGTGAAGTAGAAGGATTCTCCTTGCGCTCAGCGCCAAGCTATATAGCGGGTGGGCGGGGCTGAGCAGAATTTCGATAAGGCTTCAGCATTTTGGTGAAAAGGAGTTTTTCCCAAAGTGACTAAATAGTCACAATGACGAGTGAACGACTCAAAAAGGAACTGTTGATTTCATGAACACAATAGTGAATCCTCTCTTTATAACAAAGTGTAGACGCAATGTAAATAAGAGATTAGTTGAGCAGTGTTAGTTGTGAGATTACGATAAACTAAGATGAGTGACAGCTCATTTTAGTGATTATAAGGGGAGCACTCTTTGTCTGCTTTCTAGGCTGTAATCCATTCAGTTTTTTAAATTAAATTCACTCATGGATTCACTCTCCAATAACCATTTATCCAATAATACCACTCGTGGTTATGTAGAGTTTACCTCTTCAGTTAACTGAGTGAAAGTGGAGCAGGTCTGAGCTGCTGTGACTGAGTAGAGGTGGGGACTAGTTAGCATAATGGCTCTGCAAAAACTAAATGGGGTTAGTGGGTCTATATTCAATATATTTTAAGACATGAAGAAATAATTTTCATTGGGGAAAAGCGTTTAAATTTGGAGTTTTAAAGGATAAAATTAGTGACTACATAACTAATATTTTGAGATTTAGATGATATTTACAAATGAAATCGTATTATTCTTGTAAGTTTATGTGAATGCTACATGAGCAATATCACACGAGTAGACGTGAGATATGGCTGTATATCGGCACTGCTGTGATTTGGCCGTAGAAGTTAATCACCGTAGGTAATCACAGTGTGCCGATATACAGCCATGTATCACGGCTACTTGTGTGATATTGCGTTTATACAACAGTTTGACGGCACAAGTGTGTAAATGAATATGAAACAACAACGGAGTGTTTTTAAAAACCCTCTTTTGTGCGGAACTGCTTCCTTCCGCCACAGATTCAAATCTCAGTTTGACAGTTTAACAGCTGAGCTCAAGCCTCCGTTACTAATCCGAGAATGTCCCTTTAGAACTAGTAACGAAGGAACGCTGAGTTGCTTCATTAAAAGCTTATTGTTTTACTGTATTAAAAGCAGTATTATGTGGAGTCAAGTAGAGAGAGATGGACTGAGCGAGTGTGATTACCTGCATCTGATTCAGCATTCATTCTTCAGCTCAATCTCATATTCACAATAAAACATAAGTTTGAATGTCCACTGAGGAAAACAATATATTTTTCGTATTCTCCTTTCATCTGTTAAGGGTGATTTCCGATGACAGCGCTGCTCAGTGCATTTGTTAACTGCGTCTTACTAAGTTGTTGAAAGTAAAATTAACTTACTTGTTTACAACAGTATTTAATTCAGTCTCTTTCAATATAAAAGTCTTTACTGCTGACTCACTCATAATAACTGTCTCTTGTCGTCATCTAATGGCTGAACAATGTAACTAAAATCACCATCATGAACACACACTGTTTCCCAATACTAAATACTACTATTATTTATATAAAATATTTTTTATTGAATAATAATATTTAATAAACAACAACAACAACAGCCATCATAAAAGCCGCTAAGCAATTCAGTCAAAAGTACAAAGGCAGCGCACTGATTTGAAGTTACATAAAATATAACGTGATGAGATTTTGCCCTCAGCCAAAACTATATGCTCTGGAACAAATAATAGATTAATGAGACCAAAGACTGCGCCATTAGATTTACCCAAAACAAATTAGATCTCATGTTTAACCACTATAGAGACATCAGAGCCAGCGGCAAATTCTAGAAGATCTGGCTGAGGTGAGGCTACTCTTGGTGGGTTCATGAGGGCTGACTCCATGGAGCTCACATCTCCAAAAACATCGAAGCAAATTTTCAAATAGACGTTATCTTTATTAACAAACCACATATTTAAAGTCTAAACAAGTACATTAATATTGTTATACATATAAACAATTACATTAATATGTTAATATATAAACAGTAATATTTTTAATATTGTAGTCGATTTGAGCGTCCGCCATGACACTCAATGTGAGAAATACTGCAACCGGAGTTATACAAACGGTGAAACGATCTGAGGAGTTCTGTTACTCTAATAACGCACTCTTATCAGCCAATCAGATTCGAGGACCAGAAAGAACTGTTGTGTAATAAGATACATTCATCTTGCTGATGACAGATTTTATATTACACATAGGTATTGTGCTTAACTAAATGTGTAACAAAAAAACACAAAATATCTTTTCACAAAATATGTTCTGTTTTGCATCTATGTTGAATTTTCTTTCATATTTAACATAATTTCCTTAATATTTATATTATGCCAGTTAAATTTTAACACCCTGTGTAGCACGTGGCAAATTCAATTTAAATTCTCATTAAACTCATGAATTGTTTTAGACTTATGAAGCTCTAGAAAATACTTATAAGCCCCTCTTCATGTGGGGATCTTGGTCAGATTTGTGGATGACTTAATTCTGAGATGACATTATGAGTGGAATATAATGGGGTTTGCATCACCTCTGTCTTGTTTTAGAGATTAGAGTGAATGGAGGGACACCAGCTGTTCTGCTTGTGACTCCAATTAAGTAGCAGTTGTTCAGTTCAGTACGTTAATGTGACCAGTGGGATCTAAAAAGCTTTCTCTGAATGACACCAGCAATGTGAATTGATCTAATTTACATGTGTAGTAAATGTTACATAGTCCTTAAAACAAAAATAAACCATTAAATCAAAACATTTAGAGATGCACATTTATATACACAAAGGCATGGCCTATTTATATATGACACAAAATAGCATGTAGTGACCCAGATAATGTGATGTACATTCAAAGTTTGCTTCACTGAAAAAAATGAAGGCTTTACTTTGAAAAAAAAAAATCACTCTTAAATTGAAGTAAATTTCACAAATTATTACAACGATTTAGTAGGTAACTCTCCATTACTAACGTAACCTCGGTTCCTTGCGTAACGTAACCTTGCGTCGCTGACACTATACGGAAACTCCTGCTTACTCTGTTACTGAAGACTGATTTGTTCACAATTGTGTAGCTGCACAATCGATCGGTGCTCTAGCCACTTGCAAGGGGATTAGGTAGAATTTAAGTGGAGAAAATCCTTGCCTGAAGGGCAGGGACGTCCAAGTTGTAGAATCTGGCAAAGGTAGATG